ATATATATATATATATATATATATATATATATATATATATATATATATATATATATATATATATATATATTCATATAGCTAATGGTGAATGAATGTCTTTTGTTGGTATTTCTCTTTCCCTCAAGGTGAACCCGAGGTGCTAGTGTCAGAACTGACACCGTCAGATGAGCTTGCCCGAAAGATGAGAGGCCACAGTGGGAAAAGTAAGCATCTTGGTTCTTGCTTCTTACACTTTCTGGATGGTTGATGTGAAAAGATAATTTACCGCCATGGTGCCATGTTAACCCTAACCATGGTGGAATTGCACCCTGAGGATGCCGTATTCTTTTCTCAATGCTCTATTGTAACAGTTCCATTTCCCAATGTTTTCTCACTCATTCTCTTCTGTCGAAGTGGCATTCCTGTCTTTGATCTATGCCCCCCAAAGAATAATTCCCTCTACGTAAACTGTAGTTGCAGGGCCTGAAGTTCTGACCGTGAACACTGACGCTTCTCATCTCACTTTACAAACGTTCTTGAGGGTCCTTAGCTCGCCTCCAAGCAGTTTAATCAGTATTCTCCCATATCGAATCACATCTACCCTTCCTCACGTAATGGTGGTGCTCTCATTATGTAACATGTCTGAAGGTCTCACTTTTCTTGCACTGTGGAATCTTTCCATGCTAGAGACATGTGCAAATGTGGGGTGTCGCTTTATGAAACTCTATACTGAAATATGTTTTTGCCTAAAATTGTTGTTCAGTGCTATTGATTACTCTGCGAACTTTTGCAGGCAGATAATGACGATGAAATAAACATCCAAAGCAAACTGGTCTTCAAAACCGATATTTTTATGCATCATTTTAGTAAAATAATATTAAATATTCGCAGAACGAGCATCCTTTCCATTGTGGATATTCCGTTTTGCTTTGTCGCATTGCCGTTTACACCTGCTGTTTTAATCCATCTCTTTTGTCCACTTTCTTTCTCTATGGGCAGGTGTATGTATGGGCTTTTCTGAACTTTCAATCTTATTTTGCTAAATAAGCTTGCGCAATTTACATATGAACACGAAAGGAGACAACGGAAAACGATACAGAGAGCAGCAGCTTTCATTGCTGCTTCTACACAGAACGTTGTGGGGTTGTTAGAATTAGGAATGGTAAGAGAAATTGGGCTTTTTAAAAAAAATTCGCCTTCAAACCAAACGTACGATTTCAGACGGCAAAGTTTAAATCCCATCTGGTTAGTGCGCTTCAACAACACGTCCCGTAATATTTAAGAATTATGTCAGTAGGCAGAGAAGAGGTGGTCTTTTGTGGCTGTGGGAACTCATTCGAACACATGAGCATCTACACTACGAAATCAATCCGGTCGAATGGGTTTTCGACTATCTCTGGAAGTGGTCAAAAGTGGACAAGCTCAAAACCTTTGAGGCCTGTATTGAGTGCTGGGGAAAGTTACTTTTAAAAGTAATGCATTACAATATTGCGTTACTCCCTAAAAACTTAACTAGTTACGTTACTTTTGAGTAACTTTTTAAATCTGGGAAGGGCTTGCTTGTTTGTTTTTAATATAAAAAAGTTCTTTACAAAGGTAAAAGCCCTTTTCACCACAAAAGTTAAATTAATACGCCTCGGGCTGAAGGAAATGTAAATTCACGTCTGTACAGTAGAGGGCGCTGCTCAAACACACTACATGAAGAATATGACGCAGCAGAAGAACGTTCAACACTATTCAACAATAACACAAATGTGTCATTTTTGCTTATTAGTATGGTTGAATTAGATAATCGAAGGATGGGATTAAATACATAAATCATATTTGTCTTATTATTGCAGGTTTGTATAATACTCTTGAGTTTGCGTTTGACTGTTTTTGTTCATTTCGAGGAATGCTGAATCTGTTTTTGTGCAGTGAGATGAGTAAATAATGTTCATATTTAGTCTAGAACTACAGTAACACACAACCTCTGCACTTACTCCCGATTTCTGTCACCATGGCAACACCAGAGCTTTCAGTCAATACATGGAAACAAAGTAACTAGCGTTACTTATTTGAAAAAGTAACTCCGATATTTCCTTCTAAATTAAAAAGTAATGCGTTACTTTACTAGTTACTTGAAAAAAGTAATCTGATTACGTAACTTGCATTACTTGTAATGCGTTACCCCAACACTGCCTGTTTTTAGCATTGTCCACTGGTGATCGGATCGACAAAAACACATCTTAATACCAGGTGTAAACAGGGCCTACGTTACGAATCTCCGCCCACACAGAAGTCACTGGCAAATCAAGAGTCTTGCTTTTGGTCGGCGCTTCACCAAAGTTCACCAAACAAAGAAAAAATTCACATTGGGAAGTTTCTTTGCCACCATTGCCATTGAAATTTCGACGATTCTACATGACCGTACGTTACAACATTTGCTGAATGCAGAGTTGCACTCTACAAGAGGTTTGAAGTCCATAAATTGCAAAAATCAACATGTTTTTTCCTTCACAGATTACTACTCGAGCTCGGCCACAGACTCATCAGGGGCTCCACTACTGCGCTAACACGCCAGCTGTTCCCTCTCAATTATTACTGCCTAACTAGTGTTCATCTCTGTCCTTGTGCTCCTCTCAAATTTCAGTGAAAGCAGTTATGCTAAGGACAGTTTGTGTTTGTCCGAATGCCCAAAGACTGCTGTCGTCCCACAGCTTCTGTCATGAGTGTAATGTTAAACAAAGGAGCCTGTTGCAAAAACCAATGGTTTCCTACTGCCCTCGCCAGAAGCCATGTGGATTGTTACATAATGGACAAGTTTCCTGACCAAACCATTGGCATCAAAGGGTATCTAAGTATTGCTTCTAATTATCGTCATAAGCGGTGATGTATCTAGTAAATATGCATGTATTCGGCACAGATTAATAGCAACAACGAGACTTAAACTAGTTGCCATTCATCGGAGTGCTTTGCTCTAGTAGCCCGTTCTTCAAGTGTTGCCTCAGATGAATAATCTGTCCACCTTGTTTTTTGTTTAAATGATTTAATGCAATTTAATGTTGTTTTGGGACTGTTTGCGGTCACCTACATCTGTATGGTGGAACAGCAGTTTTGAAATGCTTTGTACAGATTTTTTTTTTTTGGCCAATTTTTTGTATCGAAATAAAAAGGGAGTTTCCTCTCATTTTCTGTTTTTATTCATCACCGTATACTTTTAAACTATATGCACCATTTTGTCTGTTATACTGAGTGTGTTGTTTTAGAAAACAACTGTTGTTCTCTATCACGTATAAAACATATTTACACTCATACGCGTTAACCACAGAAATGTCCTGTCTTTACCGCATGGCATGTTTCTCAGAAGATTGCACTGGTGTCCGCCTCCTCCCTCTGGTTCCCTCAGGTCACTGTGCTATGAACTTGTTTGGCTGGTTTGACAATAGAAAGGAAATAAAATCCTAGTGTTTGTTGGAGTTGTACATTGCGGAGGAGGGGCAAACTCCAGAGAAAATTCCCCTCGCAACTGTCCTCTTTTTGACTACGGTTTTACTAGTCCAGATAGTTTTGTCATATCCAACATATAGTTTTGAAGGATTAATGGGAAATTAACAATCATCATCATAATAATAATGGTTTTCTCTTTTTTTTTTTTTCTTTTTACGTGGGCGTGCTAGCATTCTGTTGTCTTGCTTTTGGATTGTAAACCATTTCGGACTCAATTAATTACATGAAATTGCATCTTGCTTAACTAATGTTTTGGTCAGATTAGCATAAATTCAGATGTTTATGCAGGATAAGATTGAAAATCCAAAACAACCATTTCATTCTAGAGATAAATTGATACTATAGTGAAAGTCATGCATTGAACTACAGTTTCAAATGGTTATCATTCTAAAATGTATCATTTCATGTACTGTATTTTTTTTAACAAGTCATCATTTAACATCAAAAAGTTATTTTTTTTGTCTTAATCCTCACAAGAGGGCACTATAGTACACACTATCTAGAGAGAGGAATCTAAACCTGGAGACACTGATACAATAAAGACCAGCTATGAGTTGTTTTCTTATGTATTTGTGTGTATGGACAGTTCAGACATTATAATATTATGTCTTTAATTTGTGTACAAATCTGCACATCGAGCACTATTGTATAGTTTTTGTAAAGAAAATGTCCAGAAGTCCAAACTTGTACAGAGCACTGGTATTCAGGCCATCCGGAATGGCATACTACTAATTCTGCATAACATGTGCACATTCTATGTAAATATGCAAAATGTGCATACCTTTTGTCTGTGCATGCTAAGACCTGTATGCAACGGGTCACACTATTCTACTTTGGAATGCAACTTGTAACAGAAATGTGGCTTAAAAATGCAAATTAACATTTTTTTTCCAAAATAAAAAATGGATGCTATTCTCTAACATGCAATGTTTGAAAGGTTTATAATTGCAAAAAAATTGTACATGCTATAAAAAAAAAATGCAGTATGCAGTTTCAGTGTCCTGGCCAGGATTTCCAAATCGCCTAAAATGTCTGGGTTTTGACTGTTTTTCCTTTTGATTTGCTCGCTACAGTATATTCCTCATATATTAAATTGCTTTGACCGTTCTCTGTAGATCCCACCTTTTCAAATACTCTCCAGTCATTATCTTCAGCCAAAACCTGGACATTTTATGCAATTTACATGTCCTGGAAAAAGAGGGCGCAAGATCACCCTCTATATTCATATGCTGCTCCGTGTATATCCAGACATCACAAAAGCCACTGTTTAAGCACCAAAGAAATTGAATCTCTCATAAGTCACTGGCAGAGCAATCATCTGCTATAAAAACAAATACGCAGGTACGTACTGTTCAAACAATGCGTTTACCTTTGTGCCACTGACCCTGTAGTGTCACCATCAGACTTCCTCTGGGTACACACACAGCAGCAAACACAACTGGTTTTATTGCAATTACGCAATTTGGACTTCTTTCAGAAATAAACCTGTGACACCGACAAAGCATGAGGCTGCAGAAGCCAATGTTTGCAACGCTTTGACACAGCAAACATGGTTAAGGTTGGAAAGAAATACTAGCTTACTGAATATTGCGTTAAACAAAATGTGTACACAATCGCACAACATTTCATGTTTAAAGGAACATGTAATAATCCAAAAAATGTACATTAGCTGTAAATGTACTCACCCTCAGACCTTCCGAGATCAGGATGTGTGTTTCTTCATCAGATCTGGGGAAATGTAGCATTGAATCAGTGTCTCACTGCAAGTGAATGGGTGCCGTCAGAATGAGAGTCCAAACAGCTGATAAAAACATCACAATAATCCACAGCACTCCAGTCCATCAGTTAACATCTGGAGAAGACAAAGGCTGAAACTAATCCATCATTAAGACCTTTATAACTAAAATACATAGAGTCCATAATCCATAATAATGCTTCCTCCAGTGCTGTGGATTACTTGTGGATTATTGTGATGTTTTCTGCAGCTGTTTGGACTCTCGTTCTGACGGCACCCATTCACTTGCAGAGACACTGATGCAATGCAGCATTTTTTACACTAAATTACATTTTAGCATGACACTTTTTAAACACTAAATCTACTGTTTTAGCATTTCAAATTGAACAAACTTCTTTGTGTCAAAAGTGTTGCTTGTGAAGTGTATTTGTGCATCTTTTCCTTCAGTAAACGACATTTGCTTTGAGGAAGTTTTCACATTTATAAACATGATTTAGGTGTCCACATACTTTTATGGAGGATTATGTACATTAGTTAAACTGTTTTAGGGTTTCTCTTGTATGCAAGAAAAACATCAAATGTGAGAATTGTTCTAATTATAAGGTCAGTATTCATAGTAGAAGCACAGAAGCACACGACAAACACAGGGGTTTTGATAATACCAAAATCTGTAAAAATAGATTTAATTGCAGTATACATACAAATGTACAAATGTTTTCCTCTAGCTTTCTCACAGAGACAATACATGAACCTCCCATAGGTGCGGAGATCTTTTCTAGAGAGTTTCATCAAGGAATACTTTTTAGTTTCACGATCATCCTGTACAAAATGCTACAAAGGTGCTTCCAAAAAAAAAAAAAGAAGGAAACAATCAATAAATCACATACTGGTGACCTAAATACCATTACTGCAGTAATTTCATTAAACTGTGTAAACAATAAAGCTGTGCGAAAGTCTGTAACTTGTCAGATATCTCAAACGTAACCCTTACGCAGTGTGATTTTCATCCAGCGCTGGAGAAGATAACGCTCTGTGGAAAGCCCGTGAGTCTTTGGGTCGCTACCTCGAGAAAAGCATGTCGATCAACAAGTCCAGCAGATCTGCCTGACCGATGACCGGCCGAAAGAAGAGCTCTGTGATGAGGCTCGGAGGGATGGTCTTTAAAGCGGACGCGGTGAGGAGGATCCGAGCAAACCGCCCTCGATCCTCTGGATGAAGAGGCACCAGGACCTCCTTCAGAGCGTGCTGAGCTTCATACTGCAGACCCTCGATGAACAGAGATGCCTTCAGACCCGGCACGTCTGCAGATGGAAAATAATGCGTGAGTGCATTGTCAAATATATGGCTAAACGCAAGGGTACAGGGTACAAATTATAGACAGATAGATAGACAGACAGACAGACAGACAGACAGATAG